GTACAGACGTTATTTCCTCAGTCTGACAGGATCGCTCGGATGCGCCAGGCTGCGGAGATCTTCCTGGTCCAGATCCTGGAGCAGGACTCGCTGGCCGGAATCGTGCGCTTTGATAGCAGCGCGGTCATCCTGCAGCACCTCACCCTGGTCAGTGGGCTGGCCGTGCGGACAGAGCTGGCCCGCAAGCTGCCCACCCAGGCCTCAGGAGGGACCAACATCTGTGAGGGTCTAAACAAGGGGTTCGAGGTGAGAGAGAGCTTCTCCTTAGTGCCCCCTGGTGTCCACAGCCTGCAGGGTCAACACACCGTGTCTCCTGTGGGCCTTCGTAGCAGGACGTCACTATACAGACCTCAGAGGTCTCAATACGCACTGGACCATCGTTCCACTCACATATCAACTGGACCCGGAGACCCCAGTCCAACAGGACTGGGCCTAAACCACCGCACCAGCTGTCCTCCTGGTCCATTCGGACCTGAGCCACTGGGCCAGCTGTCCTCCTGGTCAAACAGGACTGGACCTGAGCCACTGGACCAGCTGTCCCCCTGGTCCAACAGAACCGGACCTGAGCTACTGGACCAGCTGTCCTCCTGGTCCAACAGGACTGGTCCTGAACCACTGGACCAGCTGTCCTCCTGGTGTAACAGGACTGAACCTGGGCCACTGGACCAGCTGTCCCCCTGGTGCAACAGGACTGGACCTGGGCCACTGGACCAGCTGTCCCCCTGGTGCAACAGGACCGGCCCTGAGCCAGTGGACCAGCTGTCCCCCTGGTCTCCGCCCCAGAGTGACCAGGTCTGCCTTGCTCCAGGTCCTGAGAGAGGATGACCAGGACGTCGCGGGCACTGAGATCATCCTACTGACAGACGGGGAGGACAGCAATGTGGGCTCCTGTCTGCAGACAGCGCAGAGCAGTGGGGTCACTATCCACACAGTGGCACTGGGCCCCAGCGCTGACCCTCTGCTGGAGCAGTTCGCCCTTCGAACAGGTAGGGATCCCCCTCTGTGTGAGTCCCACACAGAGCCTGTCCTGACCCCTCTCTCCCTCCTCACTGACCCAGGAGTGTCCAGTCCCACACAGAGCCTGTCCTGACCCCTCTCTCCCTCTCCTCACTGACCCAGGAGTGTCCAGTCCCACACAGAGCCTGTCCTGACCCCTCTCTCTCCCTCCTCACTGACCCAG